GCCACTGAGGATGCAAAGGAAACCAGGCAGCACCTCGGGGAGAGAGGGGGTTTTCCTGCGGCAGAGGCCTGGGTCCTACAGTCACCCACCCACCCCTCCCTTCCTCCATCCATCCGTCCATTCATCTGTCCATCCACTAACCACCATCCCTCCCTCCTTCCCTCCATCCATCCCTCCCTCATCCATCCATCATCCATCCCTCCATCACCCCTCCATCCATCCCTCCCTCCCTCCATCCCTCCCTCCCTCCATCCCTCCCTCCATCCCTCCATCCCTCCATCCCTCCCTCCCTCCCTCCATCCATCCATCCATCCCTCCATCCATCCATCCATCCCTCCATCCCTCCATCCATCCCTCCCTCCATCCATCCCTCCATCTGCAGCCTAGACTTTCACATTATGTTTACCCCTCCAACCTCATCCGTCCGCCCACTCACCCACCCATCCATTCTTCCATCTGTTCATTTATCTACCCATCCAACTTCCATCTATGCATCCATCCACCCACTCATTCAACTTCCATTTATCCATCCATCCATCTGTATCCATCAGTCCATCATGTCGTCAAGATTATGCACTGCTTGTGTGTATCAGGCACCTAGCCAGAACCAGCACCCTCAATGAACAAGGACAGAAAGCACCAGAGCTAGTTACTTCACTTCAGGGGTACCAAGCACTGCAGAGAAAGACAGCAGGGGTGCTGTCCTGGTTTGGGGCAAACAGAGGCCTCAGTGGGTATCATCTCACCTGGGTCAGGGGAGAAGTGATTCAGGCAAGAGCAGGGGAGCAGAGTCCAGCTGCAGCCTGAGGAGTAGAAAAGTCAGTGTGCACCCATGCATTGGAGACAAGTAGTAGCTCGTGAAGACAAGGGTGAGTGGGCTCAGATCCTGACCTCCACCGCTTCCTCACTGAGTGACACAGAGTAAGCGGTCAGTCCCTCAGTGTCTCTCTCCTGTCATCTGAGTTCACAGTCACTGTCTCACCAGGGTAACAGCTGAGGCGTCAGTGTCTGAACATCTTCAGCGAGTGCTCTGTCCATGTTTGCCAAGTGACTCAACTGGTTATTATTTGGGTCCCACTTGGCAGAAAGTAACCATGGCCCTTGTTTCAACATTTGCTAAGTCCCCCATGGGATGGAGTGAGAGAGAAAAGCCCAAAGTGGCCAGGCTTTTAGTGTTACAGAGAGGAAAGCAGGGTCTTCTTGCAGGGTTCCTGATGGCTGAGCTGGGAGATCAGGATGGCTCTCAGGGTGGTGGGAGAACAAGGGTAAGGCTGGGAGGTCCTGGCTGGACTCTGTCACCTGCAGAGCTGGGAAGAGGGGTAGGAGCATCTCAACCCAGTGTTTCTGCTGTGGCCTTAACGCCACCCTCAGATCTCTATCCAGTTTCTGGTGTACAGGAGCCAGGCCACTGCTGCCGCCTCAGAGACAGAGCCCCTCCTCCCAAGCTGACCTGTGTCCCGGATGATGGGAACCTCAGCTGCCATCCCAGGAAGGGCAAGGTGTGGGCTGTGATACTGCCACCATCGCTGGACTGGGCCTAGGATGCGGCCTGAGGGAGGCCTGGAACTCTGGGCCTGGTTGCCTCCCCTCCATGCCCGGCCTTTAAACAAGACTGGAGTTGGATCATGCTATGCTGGTACATACCTCTCAGGCGTAAGACAGCTGCCCGAGGGGCCTACAGGGAACACAAAGCTGTGGCCACCTCCCATCCACCTACCTCAGTCTACCTGTGTACCCCAGGCTACATCATAGCCAGGGGACTCAGGGTTGTCCCCCTGACTGGACACAACCTAGTAAATGATATCTTCCAGCTGGGCCTGTCTCTGCCACTCCTTCCCATGGTGCTTGGGGGTCTGGGCAGGGACCCAGGGTAAGTCCAGACTGGTGGGGGAACCATGCCCAGCATCCATGGACCCTAACTTTGTAACTTTTCTCTCTGTGTCCTCTTGTAGACAGGCCCTACCCTGGTGGTGGGACATGCCAGCAATGGGGGACACACCACTGGGTTCTCTGACCCTGGGGCTCAGGAAGAGGCAGGTAACTAAGTGGGGTTTGCTTGGACACCCCCAGAGGCTTGGCATGACCATGGTACTGCTTCCTGCATCCTCTCCAGGGTTATAGAAGGTGTGGTGGGTAGCCCAAAGAGAGGCATGTGGTCAGGTGTCAGAACTCAGCGAAGGTCACCTTGGAGGTAGAGAAGAGGGACAGACTCCTCTATTTTGGATGCTTGCTCTAGTGCTCCAAGTACAGGTCACAGAAGGTGGCCTGCAGAGCTTGGTTATATTCGCCAGGTCTGGTGAGTGGTTCATGGACTTCAGGGTCTCCTGTCTGCCTCAGCCACTGGTGAGCCTTGTGACTTGGGCCAACTCCCTAAGACTGGTGTCCTCCTGAAGAAGATGGTGACTAGAAGCATAGGTGGAGGACAGTAGGAGATGGGGCACAGGGTGATGAAGCCAGAAAGAAAGGGTGGCTTCTGCTCACTGTTCCACCTTCCTGTGGGCCATCGCCTTCTGGTGACTTGGGGGCAGAGAACTAGCTACCTTTCCTGTTAGCCCCAGCTCATTCGTATATATTATTTTAGGTCCAGAAAGCCAGATGCAGGGCCAGAGGCCACCTGACAGGGACAGACAGAGGGCAGACACCTCTGAGTGCTCTTTTAGCTCTCTGCCTGCAGCTGTAGACCCAGACAAGTCATGGGGCGCTCCCAGCCCGCTGCTGGTGTCAGGTGCTCTTTTCAGCTGGATGTCTAGCTGGCTCCATCCCATCTCGGGATCTGGCTGGCTCCTACTTTCCTAGAGTTGAATGGCACCTTTCCAAGCCTGAAGGTCTGGGGTCTCAGTGTGGCACACGACCCCAAGTACAGTCTGAACTGAAGCTGTGTGGGCAGGAGAAAATGAAATGACAGTCCTGTCCCCTGAGAAGCCTTCAGCAGGGGTGACATCCCTTCGTGGGGGAGATGTGCTTTGCCTGTGGGGAATGCCTGTCTGACAGGAGGTGTAGTGTCTACACAGGGACAGTCAGTCTGCAGTTTATCTAACCCCAATCCCTCCTCTATTTTGGAGGCTTGCTCCAGTGCTCCAAGTACAGGTCACAGAAGGTGGCCTGCAGAGCTTGGTTATATTCGCCAGATCTAGTGAGTGGTTCATGGACTTCAGGGTCTCCTGTCTGCCTCAGCCACTGGTGAGCCTTGTGACTTGGGCCAACTCCCTAAGCCTGGTGTCCTCCACTTCAACACTGAAAACAGTGTTATTGACCTTAGAAGCTATTTATGCTGACTGGATGAGATGCACTTTTGGGTTTATGTCCTGGCGTCTGTCAGTCACATGGGTGAAGAAATGGTAACTATATTAGTGTCCCCATCCCAGGGAGTTTAGCCATCTCACTTCTCAGGCTCCTGCGGGATAGCCAGTTTGACTAGCAGGACCCTCCTGTGATGGTGCCCCAGCTGGCTTCCCTTTATTCTCCCTTGTCCACACCTCTTGCTGCGTGTTACAGGTCAAGGAGTGGTGGGATGCCCATCTTGATGTGGTCTGAAGGTACAGCAGGCTCCTCAGATCTTTCCTCAGGCCTCATGTGTGGGCATTTTGGTTCCAGTCCAGGCTCAGCCACAGAAATGGAAATATAACTGCTAGGATGGTCTCCATCAAGCCACTCAAAGGAGGGGAGGCTGGACCATGTGCCTACAAAGACTCCTCCTGAAGGGACCAGCTCCCCATTTTGGCAGCCATGACAGTAACACGTGCTTGCCATGACCTTGCCTTTGTCCCTAAAAGGTCATATGCCTGCCTTGTGGCAAGGAACCAATCAGAAGTTAGCTAGCCTTGCTATGCGTTACGGCTCTGGGTGTGCTTTAGACAAGTGCACAGCAATGACATGCAGAGCATAGCAACCACCCTGGGAGGGCCTATGGGCCATAACAACCAGTTGACCAATCAACACAGGCCAACCCCTCCAAGACTGGAGCCACACCAATCCTGAGCCTGTGCGTACCCCTAGACACTCCCCTTATGCTGCCCTACAAGATATCTATGCAGCCTCGTTGAGCTGTCTTTTCTAGCCATCCGCCATGGTGGGTGGATGAAAGACCCGAGCTAACATGGGGTTAGCTCGTTAAACAACAATAAAGCCTCGTGCAGTTTGCATCAAGCTTTCGAATCCGCCTGGTGATTGGGGTGACCACGGTCCTGGTCTGAGATCCTGGAGGCCTGAGTTTTCCGGGGGTCTTACAGTGTATGGGCATTTTGGTTCCAGTCCAGGCTCAGCCACAGAAATGGAAATATATCTGCTAGGATGGTCTCCCTCAAGCCACTCAAAGGAGGGGAGGCTGGACCATGTGCCTGCAAAGACTCCTATAATGTCAGATAGTAGCATGTGTGTGTGTGTGTGTGTGTGTGTGTGTGTGTGTGTGTGTGTGTGTATTTATTTATTTGTTTGTTTTTGAGGCAGAGTCCTATAGCTCACATCAGCTCCCAAGCAAGGATTCTCATTGGTTATTTATCAGACTTGGGTTTTTCTTTCTTCCCCCCCTCACTACAGCTAGCACAGTATGTCTTCCAGATCTCCTCTTCTCCTGGAGGGGGGTCCCAAATCGCCCTTCTCCTCTCCTTCTAAATTGGGCTTCAGGGACTACTTTCCCCTAGCCTGTCTCCCAGCCTGAGAATAGGCTACCCCGCTTCCACACCCCAGACAACTGGGCAAAGACATCTGTCTCCACATCACCATGTCTCCAGGATACAGTAGATGCTCAATTAAACATCCAAGACACTGTCTAGAGACTCAGGCAGTGGGGGAGACTAACTTGTCACTAGCAACCGTCCTTGGCATGGTCCGCATGGCGACCGTTGCTGCTAGACAAAGTGCCAGCATTCCAACTTTGCGGGTCACATTTCTCCAGCACCTTTACTTTTGCTTTTATTGGTTCTCACTATGCCTTCCCCTTTGGGAAGTTTTGTGCTGATTTGGCGAAGGATGAAATGTGTAAAATGATAGCCTTTCTAAACAAAATAATTCTTTGGGGAAAATATCCCCACTACCTTGGAACCAGGGGCGTGACAACTCTGCCTACTCCCATACAAGTTAACACCAAGCTGCTAGAAAATTCAGATAAGTTACATATGCTTCATAGTTGATAATCAAGATTTATAAGTTCCTAAGGCCTGCTCAGGTTCACAGTAATATTTGTCTAGCTTCATCTTTGCTCATTTTTAAGCTTTAGTTAATTGGATAAATCAAGCCATTTAAGAAACTGCAATTTTTTATTTTATTTTTTAATTTATTTCCCTGTGTAGCTCTGACTGTCCTGGAACTCACTCTGTAGACCAGGCTGGCCTCAAACTCACAGAGCTCCTCTTGCCTCTGCCTGCAGCGATGAGATTAAAGGTGTACGCCACCACTGCCCATTGAAACTGCAATATTCTATAATGGAGTGTCTGACCACCCAAGAAAGTCCTTTTCCCAAGGTCAGGCATTTAGACAAGTCCCCATTTCCTCAGGGGCTTGAAAGTTCCTGCTTGCTAAAAAAGGGAGAAAAAGGTCTCTGGCAAGAGGAACTTGTGGCCCTTCCATTAACATATGACTGGTGCCTGCTATCAAGATCAATGCTAGTTTCCTCAACCCCTGAGATTAAGCCACACCCCAGCTCACATGCCTCCTTTCTCCCATGTACTCCTATGTGCAACTATACAGTTTAAAAGGTGTATTCTTAGCTGGGTGTTGGTGGTGCACACCTTTAATCCCAGCACTCGAGAGGCAGAGGCAGGCGGATATCTTTGAGTTCGAGGCCAGCCTGGTCTCCAGAGCGAGGACCAGGATAGGCGCCAAAACGACACAGAAAAACAACACCTCAGAAAAAAAAAAAAAAAAAAAAAAAACACCCCCCCAAAAAAAGGTGTATTCTTTTTCAATAAACTCACGCAGATGGTGTCTGTCTCTTCTTTTCCCCTCGAAGACTCCACGTGTCCTCTTTGGGACCTGAACAGCATCACCCACCCCCAAAGAAGCAGGTCTGTAGCATATCTTAAACATCGTGAGGCCAGCCTAGACTGCACAAGACCCTGTCTTAAAAACAAGAACCTAGAAATAGCGAGTGCAAATAAGGCACCAAAACATAGCAATTTAAATAATTTCAAAGGGTTTCGAGAGTTTATGTAAGATGCTTACATTCTGAATTTCATGTTTTTAAAAGTAATTATTGAAAACTAAGCTTGATTGGGCTGGAGAAATGGCTCAGTGGTTAAGAGCATATCCTGTTCCTTCAGTGAACCTGTGTTTGATTCTCAGGCAGCACAAAACTGCCTGTAACTCCAGATCTGATACTCCTCTGCCTCCCACCCAGGAATAAATAAAGTTTTTGTTTTGTTTTGTTTTTTAAAAAAGAAAGAAAACCAAGTTTGGTGGCATAGGCCTTTTCATCTCAGCACTGGGGAGGTTGAGCACAAGTTGAACATCAGCTTGGACTACAGAAGTCCCACAAAAGACCACCATCCATGCATGCCGTCAGCAAGAACATTTATTTGTTATCTCTAGAAGGAACCAGCGCGCTGGGATGTGCATCCAACACAAAGGCAAAAATGGCAAACGGCGAAGCCCAAGAAAAGGTTGCAGGCTCTTTTCATATACAACTAAGGGAATTCTAAAAGTAGTGTATCATTCTATGTATGATTGGTTTACAAAGTGAAAATCACATTAGTACGTTTCTAGTTGGTTAGGGCTAGCAGGGGTGGGCTAAGTCTATGGCTTTTCCATTCTTGGACAAGTCCCAGGCTTTGTCCTTATGTAGTTATTGCCTTGAGGTAGCTGGAGGGTGGGGTTGAGGA